CCTCAAATCTTTCCACAGCAAGAATCTTTCCAAAAGTCTGAGGTCTCTTATATGTTAATTCACTAGGAAGGGACCTCAGGAAATCTCTGTCTCTTGCTCAAAGCATAATTGGCTCTGAATTTGGATCAGATTCCTCAGAAGCAGCATTAACAAATATAGTTAATATTTGAGTGAGAACTCAGTATTGTACCTCATCCCATGTCTAGCGATGCAAAGCAAAGAACTTCAGCATGACTTAAGTGCTTCCTTATGATGCAAAGCAGAGGACTTCAGCATGACTTAAGTGCTTCCTTAATTTCCAATCAGTCACACCTCAAGAGTTTGCTGAATAAGATGTGATTTCTGTAAACTTACTGAATTCCAGTGGATTTTAGTCCACAAACTTGTTCAGATTCACAGGGAACTGGGGTAAAAATTTTGATCATAGAATCACAGAATCATTAAGTTTGGAAATGGTAGAATTCAGCTCACAGAAAGGTTCACCTCCCTTGAGGTGTCTACATGTAGGCTTCTGTTTGTCATCTGGGTGCTGTGAGAGTCAAGAGAGAATTACTCGGTGTGAGATAATGCAGTTGAGATTGATTCTGCTGATCAGATAAATGTGTCCACATACAACTCTCAGATATTGCCAATAATGTAACCCATTTCTTGGCTGTGTTTCTGGTGCTTGTTCTGTCAAAATAGTGACTTAAAAATGAAGTTTAGTGAAATTACTCATGTGAACAAAAAAGAAGTCTACATTGACTTCTATGGTGTGGGAAATAGTTTTGGAGATGAATTTGGCCTTGTGTGTTCCATTTCAGTCACTTAGAGCTTATTTGGTTCCTTAAAGCATTGAATCTTCTCTTCAAGCCTCCCAAATCTGAAGCATGAAAAGTTCAGGGTCTCACTGGTCTATTCTCTGCCCTCTGACATTTTTTCTGTTACCTTACCGAGAATTTTTTTGGACTGAGATGAGAAGATGTCAGAGATTTCCCTGCAGATTCATCAAGGGCAAATGTCGTGTCAGCCCACATACCCTGTGACCACTGGTAAGCAGCCTACCAATACAGGAAAGAAAGCCATTGCAGTATGGATACAAGTCACTGAAAAGGCTCCCCTTCATGCCAACACTTCAGTCAAGGCATTAGTCTATCTATTTAGAAACCAGAGATACAGTCACTTTATATTCTGGATATACTCAGTAGCAGATTTCCAGAAGTTAAGACCAGCTGTTGATTTTTAGTCAGGTCTCTGTGATGTATTGTACTGATTACTATTAGATTCAGATCACGTTTTGAAGTCAGGTATTCTACAAAAAGTCAATCTTTCCTTAAAATCCTGAATAACAATGAAAAGAGAATGAACTCATATAGATTATGCCTACCTGGTTCTGTCAAAGGATGCAAAATATTTCACTATTATCTGGGTAACACTTGCAAATCCTCTATGACCAAGTATTATATAAATACAAATACACACACATATATACACACACATTTTAACTCAAAAATAGGAAATGCAACTTCCTACTCCCCATGTTATGCTTCACTGGGATGTGGTTAAGACCACAGAATCACAGAATTAATTAGGTTGGAAAAGACCTCTGAGATCAAGTCCAACCTATGATCTAACATCACCATGTCAACTAGACCATGGCACTAAGTGCCATGTCCAGTGTCTCCTTAAACATGGCGCCTTAAGGATGGTGGAGACTGATGTTGCTCCATGTGTATCCTGGATGGTCCAGGCTGCTGCTGATGTAGTGAAAATATAGCTCTGACGAGTAGGCAAATAAGTAGTCTGTTATACCACTCTGAAATACTGCAGATCCACATACCACAGCAAAGCAGAACATCCAAGGTTTGCCTTATTTTGGAACACGGCCCAGAGTCCTTGCTCTCACAGTGGAATCTTACGTTCCTGGCAGGCTGTGTAAAATTACATGCTAGAGGAAAGCAAAAGGTTTCCTATGATATTTCCAGGTTTTCTTTGATTCCACACAGCCCATCAATAAGTGTTGATTAGCAGGGAGAATGACCTCAAGTCACGTCAGCTGTAGGATGTGTTTTTCCTGGAGGGAAAGGATGAATATGATTTCCGCCTCTCAAAGATAAGGATTATCACAGGTTTTTAAAGCATAAATTTTGCTCTTATTCTCTTTTGTCTTTGTAGAAGCCTTTCAAATGAGGGGAAAGACTAATGGCTGGTCAGTGTTTAATCTTTTAAAATGTCAAGGCTTTGTTAAATGCTAACATTGATGTGTCAGACCTCAGATCTGGATTCACTGGGGTTAGCAGTTGCATTGTGATAGAAAAGAATTTAGTTTCTCATCTGCTTTTGGGCATCAGTTTATCAGTCACTTATTTGCCAGTACTCCTGGCTTTAAAGTGTGACCATTTGGCCTTCCAAATGTGAGATATGGTTTTCCAGAGTCTATAGTCCAGATTCCTAAAACAATACTATTTCTTTTGATATCAATGGGATGCATTTGAAGACCAATGTATCCAGAGCCACAAATCCTGCTGTCTCTGCAGTGGAAAAAAAAGAGTGATTATTTTTAAAAGGGTATGACAAAGCTAATAGAATATTAATTTAGAAATATATCAGGCAT